TTTTCAAAAAGTCCCCCCCCCCCCATGCATTTCAATGGACTTCCACTGTAAAATGTAATACGTAATCATTCCGCACCCCCGTCAAATGCAGACCTCCTCGCCGTTTCTGGATGTTTTTGCTTTCAACTTATTTTCTTATCCTCTATTTCTTAATTCTTGTTGTGAAGTGTGTTTAAGTAGCGTGAAAAGTATTTTCAAATAAAATGTGTCATAATAATTCACCACACGATGGCAGACATGGATTATTTGCGTTGGTATTGGGTCGTAAACTGCCCTATAGGCTTACTGGTGCAAGTAGGCCGAATTTTTTTTTTGAGGATTTGAAAAGTCATGCAAGACAAAGATAGCATCTGAGTAACATAGATATTTTGAGTGATTTAGTATTTTTAATGAAAAAAAAATGCACCAAATGACTGCTTGCACTGTATGTGATTTGTCATTCAAGCAGTTTTGTGCTGCTGTCTTTGAAAGGTAATTTTGTATGCACGAGACCCCTTAGAACAGGGGGGAAAGAAATCCCAAAACCAAAATGTTCTTGTTGTTGAAGACTAGATCTTTTATACATGCGTTGAGAAATTCATTAAGAAAAAAATTAATATAATAACAATAATAAAAATAATAACATACAAAAACAGACATGATACACATGTTTTGTGCATATCTAAAATGTCATTTTTGTCATACATCTGATTAGGAAGTGAGTGATCCGGCGTGTCCCCAGTAGCGCTGATGAAAATTGTGGCCCCTGCCATTATTTAAGTTGCCCATCCCTGGTTTAGATAATAACTGATACATTTTCCCTTATCATTATGAAATCTGGAAAATAATTTCTCCACGAACACAGAATTTGAACACAACCTTAATAGCAGCGGTTCGTTGTTATCAAAGGTTTTGCTTTAGGCGCTTGCACCACACCTACTGTGGAAACAAGTTCTTGATGGGGAACTTAAACTGCATCCTCATTATTTCGTAAAAGTTAATGACTGTCTTCATTCTTGAACTGAGTAATTAGAGTCATGACACCCGCAGCAGCAAATGATTTATTCTCCTCACCTTAAAGTGATCGGTCATGGCATTAAACTCATGCTTGTGAGCACACGTATGCAACCAATCGCAGCTTTCATAGGTGAATTAAGCTCAACAGCAATTCCTTTCACATGTCATGCAATATCCATCCAATTTATTTCACACTTGTATTGTTCAGGGTGACAAGGAGTTCAAGCTCACCCCAGTTGACATTGGACAAAAGGCAGACCGCACTGCCTTTTGCTATGAGTACAACAGACTGTTATACTGTACTTGGACTATGAGTCTGTCGGCCACCAGTCTTATTTCTGCTCACAATTTTCACATGAAACTTTTTAAACTTTTTTTAATCCTCGTCATTATCTTACTCAGATTTATTGGATGTCACTTGAACTACGAGTCTGTCGGCCTCCAGTCTTATTTCTGCTCACAATTTTCACATGAAGCTAGTAAACTTTTTTTAATCCTCGTCATTATCTTACTCAGATTTATTGGATGTGAGTGCTATGTATTGTTTTTAATGGATCCTTGGTTCTCTTATTTGGCTCAATGGCTTCCTAGTAAATTCTCACATGCCCGGTAAATTCTTGACAGCATTGATGTATTTTGTAGGTCACACTTACTATTATCAGTTTACATTTGGTAGTTAAAAAAAAAAAAAAAACATCTTCAATTTTGTCAGCAATAAACTGTAAAATGTTTTGGTGATTATTCAGCAGTCTTACATTTAATCATGCAGAAACAGTTGTATAAATTGAATTTACATTCGTCCATTTTGTACTTTGAAAATATAAGACGCAAATGTTCATGTAAATGCATCATGAAAACATTTATTGGCCCTTTTCCCATTGACAGCAAAGACATTGTGCCATTTAAATGGCACACAAATACACACAAATACATTAAAAAACATTGAAAACGGGACTAGGTTATTTGCAATTGTATCATAACTTTAAATGCTTCAGCAAAGGATTCTTGCTCAAAGTTTTCTTGTTTTGCTACTCATCCGAGAAAAAAATTTAGTCTGTGAGAAAGCAATTAATTATTTGTCATTATTTCATTGAGGGTTGTTATTTGTTTTGGAGCAGTAAAACAAAATATAATCAAGTGTAAATTTAGTGCTGTAAAAAAAACAAAAAAATCTGAACACATTCAACAATGTAGCGCTTCTATATTTCAATCAATCATCCCAAGATTCAACCAAACTGGACCATGGGGTGGTCCACCCAGGTTGGAAGGTTGGCTAGTTTCTCCTCAGTAGCCTTTTCGATGGGCCAGCTCCAGGCTTTAAAGAATCCACACAGGTTCATTCCCACAGTTTTGGAGAAAGTCTCTGCGTACAGGTTCATCTTGCCGCCGTTGTCCTTTGGATAATTACTTATCTTGTGGTAAGCAGCAAATACCTTCTTGAAGGCATCCCATCCAAATCTCTCCTGGAGCTGCGTTAAAAGAGCACGTTTTATTCATCAGCATCGGTTCGAAATAAGGTGTAACGGGTGTGTTAAAGCCTCTCAGACACATCGGCTTTTTTTTTTTAATTCTTTTGAGATGTACTCACATCTCAAAATAATAAGAAAACAATACTAGGTCCACGTCTCTTTCCTGTCTCTCACCTGCAAGTATGTTTCAAGAGCCACCCACACCTCCCACTTGCTGAGTTGCCTGCCCCCTTTGACAAATTCCTCCAATCGACTCTTCCTTTTTGCTGAAGCGACATCGCCGTGAGCCTGTATTGAAAAACCACTGATGTGAATGTAAGATGACATAATCCAGGACCCAGTCAAGAGAAGAAAAATGAGTTCACCTTTCCCCTGTTGATCCCCAACACCTCCTCATGGATGTACACTGACCAAATGTTGCATGTACACTCTGTGGTGTGTGGCCGGAACTCCCAGGGATCTCTCTGCTGGTTGTGCCCGAGCTCGTGGATTGGGCCCCATAAACCTTTAGTCTTGGCCTGCTCAAGGTTGACCAGCGCCTCTGCCGAGGCCTTGTGCATCATGACGGGGTAGCCGGCGTGCATCCAACCTAAAGAGTGATAAAAGCAATCACTGTCCATGATGTGCAGTATTTCTGAATTCACTCATCAACATAAAGTTGTTTTTCCAAAATGCTTTTCACTCTGTTCCTGATTTACGTGTGTAGTAGTAGTAGTAGTACGATAACGATAGGCTTTCCATAAACCTGTCAGTCATGCATGTAATGCCCCAGAGTTTTATAGAAGTGCAGTGCAAGTCTGGTGAAAGAGACACACTTCAACATTGATGGTGCCCGGCATACAGGACAATATGGACATACCATGAGAAATTTGTACATCTGCTACAAAGCGTTCTTTGCGGGGAAATTTGTGTGGCTTGGCAGCTAAGTCGGCAATGCCTTTCATGATCGAGTCCCAGAGCGCTGCCAGCAGATCTGGTCTTTCCAGATTCCTAATGGTATCTGATGGTACAGTGAGTATGATATTTTCAAACTCCAACTCTGCCCAAGGGGAAGGAGCTGTTCGCAGCATGGCCCAATCGGCTGGTGTTGTCATACCTGAAAAGAGCAGAGGGAGAAATAGTTTGCTTTCCAACTAGGCGGAGCATCATTTATGCTGTCAAAGCAGGCTTAAATATCGTCTAGTCAAAGTGTAAACAAGACATTTGCAAGGACTTGCAGAAGTTAACTCTAATGTACATACCAGGTGAGGCACACAGTTACCGCGAAACATTCCATTTCTCATTTGATTGGTTTAGACCCATGGCCGACAAGTGGTTTTTATTCTCACAGTAGAACATTTTCGAGCTCCAAAATGCCATTATTGAGTGTATGGCAAATAAATATTTTCTCAGTGTCAATTGGAATGCCGTGTTATGCAAATGGCACCTGATCTAATTGAAATACAAAACATAATTTTTCTGAACATGAACGTTTTTCTCTACTTAAGTCTATAGATGACAAATTACATCACGAAATGTTTCACTAACCGCATAAAGGACATACAAGTAAGGGGGGGGGGGGGACAGTGAAGTCAGACAAAACCAATGACATCATCCTCACCAGATTTATAATAAGGTGCCGGCACAGCTACCTGCACTATGACCTGTACCCCTCCCACTTGGGTTTTAGGTGGGGCCACCAAGTAGATGAGACCTCCCCACAAGTTCCACACCTGCATCATCTCACTGTCAATGGGAAATTGCTCATGAACATTGGGCGCTCTCTTCAGCTCCTCAGCCTTAAGATAGTCTGTTTGACAACCGATTTGGACCTGTGATGGAATAGAAACGATTTTTACAGACACCATTATGAAGCAATGCACGTTGAAATTCTTTCTGTAAATCTATCCATGGCAACACTTGTCATTATCACGATATGAGATGAGCTGGCGCTTATCCCAGCTGAAACACAATAAATCCAAACAAGAACAATTAGTTTGTGTTTATTCATGTATCATACCATCCATCCCTTGTTGACAATCTCACCAGGCATTGCCATATAGGTTTTCATGCCTTGAGAAAGGTAGAGCCCGGTACTGACCCACTCTTCTCTGTCTAATGCATAAATAGAAACACACAATAATGTCAATTTAAGATAGCACTGAAGGTTGAACCTTCGAATGGTCAAACTAAAAAGGCCGTACCTGCTGTGTTGACATTCAAAGTGACCCTGTGATTATAGACAACGGGCAACAGGGGGTTCTCATTGATGAGGTAAGGCAACAGGCTGTCAGGATTGGGGCAAACCTTAAAGACCTCTGAACCCATGTTGAGCAGCAGATGGTCTTTGGGACTTTTCACTGGGCAGGTGTCACACACCTTAAAATAAATAAGAAATAAATAAACATTGGGGTGGTGGTTAAATGTAGTGCATGAAAGGTCTATCCGTTGACAGTATGTGATCGATCATATCTGTACATCAAGAAACATCAGCAATCAAAAACCTGATGAGCACACAGAGCTTTTCCTTGAGATGTCTACCTGAGGCATGCCCGATTTCTTCAGGACGTGCGTAAGGGTGGACAAGACCTGAGCGTATGAACAGCGATCATGGGCTTGCATTTTTAAGAAGGAGGCACAGTCCTTGCCAAACTTTTTAAGGCATTGCTCCTCGTTCTTGGTAAGATCCTCTCCCTCAGTCACATGAGCGGCAAAACGCTGTAGAAGGTGGCAGAAGTGGTAGCTGTCTTTGCCAGTCTGGCTGGGTACAGGAGCTTTGAAGCGACCGCCCCCAATGGTTTCAGGCAAAAGGCTCAAGCCCATTTTATTCAGGATCTTGTTCCCTGCAATTACAACCAGTTTCTATTAGGATGTTCAGAAATTATCAAACATACAACAACAGGAGCTAAAAAGAACCTCATCACTCTTGTGGTGCAGCGTAATACCTGCGAATTCTGTCAAGGGATTTCCGCCTTTGTGTGACTGTGCCCAGTACCAAGCATGGCCACCAATCAGCAGACCTCCTCCCTCTGCCACAAAGTTGTGGATTTCTTCTGCGTGTTTGTCACTGTATGCCGAACACACAAACACACTCAGGTCATTCCTGAAGTCGCTCTTCTCACACCTTAACCCAGATTTCTTGAGATTGTCGAGGGCTTTATGTTGCAGGACGCCCACAGTGCCACGTCGCCCCGCATCCAACCAGTGAAGAGCATTGGTCCAAAATGGGGCCAGCTCCTGTGGTACACCGAACAAAATGTGTGTTCATCACGACACCATTTGGCAGATCGGCACACGGTTCTATTTGAAATGACGC